GTTGAGCCACAACCGGGACCCACAACACTTATCCTCACCTCCGGCACCCATCACAACAAATGCCCACCTTCCCCTCGCAAGGTCGTCTGCTTATCTCTCTGTTTGCGTCCTCACCCAGCAGTGTGACAATCCCACTTCTCATTATTCACTTCGTCTGACGACGGGTTGGTGCAACCAGCTCGAAAATTTACGAGTAAAAGTCTTTTTTCCGACGAACTTCCTCCTTTCATCATATTATCTCGGAAGGCGTACTACTTCAGCTATTCATACATATATATATGTGTGTGTGCTGAAAGTACGTTCATCGATCCGGTTTTGGGACGTGCTGGTGCGGTACACCAGTCGACTTCAACATTTTGGTCATTGGTCGAAGGATTTGAAGTATGTTTTTGAAGATAGGACAATATAAGATAATCATCTCTCTCTCTCTCTCTCTCTCTCTCTCTCTCTCTCTCTCTCTCTCTCTCTCTCTCTCTCTCTCTCTGTTTAAGGCTTTGAAAGGGAATTTTATAGTCAAGAGTCTCACCCATCCTATCCTCGAAATCTAGGCAGTTTCCTACAGAGCGTCGACTTCAACTAACACCTTGGTTATCGTAAATATAATCATCAATGTTCCCTTTTTGAAAGCATTTGTCTTAACTTTTGTTGTTAGTACAATTTTACACTGAAAAACTTCCTCATTCTTACATGGATTTCTTGAAAATTCCGATTAGTGTTTAGGATTATCGCCCATAACTAGGTGTGGCTGTCTGAAAATTAGGACAATTATCATGTTCCCACCGCGATAAGGAGAGCGAATTAGCCACACCCTGTCGGCTTACCATTGGTCGGCGATCAGACCGGAATACCCCCATCGTTAATGTCTGCGAAGAGAGCGGAAGTTGAAGACTGCTTCCAATAGGCCACGCGCCGACGTTGTTTTGGCGGTCATTTCGTGTGGGATGTTATTTTACGGAACTCTAATAACATTATGTGGGGGTTTGGTGGTTTGTCTTTACCCTGAATTCTAACCCAGGCCAGTGAGTAGAGTTTTTTGATTACAACCCTCGTTAATGAATCCGACTCAGTTGCACGGCTTTGTCCCTGTTTTTTAGAGAGTGGAACGTGGGCAGCCGATGACGGAGGATAAATCAAAAGCTGCATTTCTTTCGACTAAAAACTGCTCAGAGCCCTGTGGATGCCTTTAAAAGGCACTTGCGTAAAGAGTGTTTGCTTGTTCCGTCGTAACATTGGGTCGGAACAATAAACATTTTCGAAAAAGGCTTCATCTCTTTGCTTACATAATGACGGGAAGACGGGTTGCCCGTTAGCCTAGCTGCTGGCTACCCGGCGCGTCCACAGGTGGCGGATAGTGGGACGACCTTCAGTGAAGGTTAGCTGCGAAATAAGCAGACCCAGGTCTGACGAATAAGCAGTCGCGGACCAGCAGCGACATTGCTACCAGGGTGAGGTGGGCTGAAGTCTGGCACGCTGAAAGCCTTATGAAATGCCGCAAAGCCGCAAACGGCATTGTGACATGACGACCGTAAACCGCCATTAAATAAGTTTACTTGCCACCGCTGCCTTGTGGTTAGGTTTTTAAGCCAAAGCGCTAGAGGAGACAACCTCGAACAAACAATCCGAGCGGCTGTCGGGAACCCGTCCGTATTCGAAATTCCCAAGAAACCTCATGCAACATGTCCGATCACAGTACTACGACCCATGCTACGGCGTCCGCGGGAACCGACGCGCTCCGCAACCCTAGTCCAGTGGTGCGGGCGAATAGTATGCGAGCTGGACTACTCAATCGTGGACGGACTCTCGGTATTGGATGCTGGAATGTACGAACGTTCCTGGACCCTGATACCCAAAGTCTGACCGCACGCAGCCTTCATCAGTACAACGTGGATGTCTGCTGTCTGTCTGAGGTACGACTCCCTGACTCGGGCTCTCGTGAAATAAAGATCCCCGGAGTCGAATCCCACTTCACCCTGTACCACAGCGGCCCCCGCGATTCCTCTGGTCGAAACGGTGTGGCGATCGCCCTATCACAACAAGCAGACCTCGCGCTACTTGCTTGGGAACCAGTCAATGACCGGATGGCCTACGTGCGACTGAAGGGTCATTTCACGAACATCTTCATCGTCGCTGTGTACGCACCAACTTCGGCTGCGAACAGCGCGATAAAGAGGCGTTTTACTCTCAGTTGCAAGCGCTAGTTGAAAGACTGCCTCGCCGCGATCTGCTGATTGTTGCTGGCGATTGGAATGGTCGAACTGGACCTGGCGACTCCACAACCAGTCATCTTCTTGGCCGCTTTGGGCTTGGTTCCCGATGTGAAAATGGTGAGAGATTGCTGAACTTCGCTGATCGAAACCGACTGCTTGTCACCAACACATGCTTCCAGCATCGCAAAAACATCTGCTGACCTGGTATTCCAACGACGGTCGTACGGCCAGTCAGATTGACTACATACTAGTCAGCTCAAGGTTCCGCAGCTGGGTTCACGATAGCAGATCGATGCGTGGTGCCGAGACTGGTAATGCCCATGGGTCGGACCATGTCCTCGTCCGTACACGCCTGAAAGTTCATTTCTCATCCGCACCAAAAATGCTACGTCCTAGACGCCTCAATGTCGCAAAAATCCGGCAAGCCAGCACTGCCGAGGCACTAAGCAGAGAAATCCGGACCTATTTTACGGCCCGAGTCGACGGAGAAGTCAGTAACCAGTGGTCGTCACTGAAGACGTCAGTCTATGGGGCAGCTGAGAAAATCCTTGGATACACTCAGCGACGCCGCAGTGACTGGATCAGCGGAAGAACCCTGCAGTTGTCTGCTCAGACGGCTAGAGCCAGGTCCCGCAACGATGACTACTTCCGCCAACTTCGGAAGATGACGGCAAAATCGGCCAGAGATGACCGGAAACAATATTGGGCTGAAATAGTGACATCCGTGGAACAGGCCTCGAACGTTGGTGACACTCGAAAGCTCTACCGTCTGATCCGCCAAGTTAGCGGTAAGCCCTCTACACTGAGTGAATCTGTTCGCGATGTGAACGGCGGCTTTATTGCTGACAACTCGGCCAAAGTCGAGCGCTGGCGTGAGCACTTTGAGCACCATCTCAACTTCGATACCCAACCTACATCGCCCTTGTTCTCCTCCTCAGCGGAGTTTCTTCCCTCTCCTACCTATGCAGTGCCATGCGGTCCCCCCTCCGAGGAAGAAGTCGCCGATGCTATACGAAAGTTGCGCAAGAATAAGGCACCCGGAGAGGACGGTATACCCGCTGAAATCTTTAAGTCTTTTGTCGACACTCTGGCGCCCTGGCTCCATGAGGTGATTGGACGAGCGTGGAGAGACGAGGTTGTTCCTGATGACTGGGGCTTAGGCATCCTTGTACCTATCCTCAAGAAGGGAGATAAGACGAGATGCGAGAACTACCGCGGCATAAGTCTCATCGACGTTGCTGCGAAGATCTTCGCCATTGTCCTACTCAGGCGATTCCAGGCTGTGCGTGACTCAAGGACGAGGCCCAACCAAGCCGGATTTCGTGCTGGACGTGGATGTGCAGATCAGATATTCACACTGAGGCGCATTCTCGAATTTCGCCATAGCTACCAACAACCGACGGCCGTCTGCTTCGTTGACTTTGCCGCCGCGTTCGATTCCGTTCACCGTGAGTCCCTGTGGCGGATAATGAGGCTAGATGGTGTACCGGCAAAAATCATCGCCATGATCAAGGCCTACTATCGTTCCACTACTGCGAGAGTCCTGGTCCGTAACAATCTTTCCCAACCGTTCGGTATTCGGTCTGGCGTTTGACAGGGTTTTATCCCGTCACCCATACTGTTCAAATACGCTATTGACTGGATCCTCGGGAGGGCCCTACGCGACAGTGACGGCGTTGAATTTGCACCCGGACATCGACTGACTGATCTCGACTATGCCGATGATATCGCCTTACTTGCTTCAAGTTTTAGTGATCTGCAGTCTATGGTGTCACGGGTGAACGAGGTCGCTAAATCAGTCGGTTTGTCCATAAACGCTGGGAAGACCAAAGTATTCTCAAGCTGCATCCCTGACCAGGAGAAGGCACCCCTGGGGATTAATGGCTGTCAACTTGAAGAAGTGGACAGTTTTAAATACCTCGGGGCGCGGCTGCTGCCTAATGGACAGAGTAAGGACGACATTGTCTCCCGAATCGATGCTGCCCTCTGGGTTTTTTCAAGCCTTCGGAAATGCCTGTGGAACCGACGTGACCTCTCCATCGCCACTAAGATTCGCGTCTACCGTGCATCTGTCCGGTCTGTCCTGCTCTACGGTTGCGAATGCTGGGCTTTGCGCGTGGCGGATGAGCGAAAACTGGAGGTATTTGACCACCACTGCTTGAGGATCATCCTTCGAGTGAAGTTAACCGACTTCGTCTCAAATGAGATAGTCCGCGCTCGCTGCGACAACATCGCGAGGATAACTCAGGCCATCCAAGAAAGACGACTGCAGTGGTTCGGGAATGTTCTTCGTCGTCCACCTCAGGAGCTCAGTGTTACTGCCCTCGATCCGGCACCGTTGCCCCATTGGAGGCGTCGAAGAGGGAGTCAGTTCAAAACCTGGCTCGACACTGTCCGTCAAGACATGGAGGTGGTTATTGGACCTTCGGTATTCGGTCTCCGTCGTTGGCGAAGGGAATGGGTTGAGCTGTCTAGATCTGCTGCCGCGGATCGTCACGCGTGGAGAGGTACAATTCGGGACATCATCGAGGCCGGCTAGATCAGGCATGATCGCAGTCGTATCAAGTACAAAGTAAGTTAAATTATGACTAAGTCCTTTTAAACTGACTCAAATGGAAGAAGAGATATAGTTTTGGTAACAAGCATATTCTACTACACATCCTATATTACGTTTTTCCAAATGCAACATTTTATTTCACTGAAACGCACTGGAAATAAAAACACGGGGCACTTGGACCAACCGGACACTGAACATACTAGAAGTGGCCCTTTGCAAGAAGTGGCATACACTGGGTGACCGAGCTCATGAAATGTCGGCGGAAATTCTAAAATGCGCATTCGATTAGGACGGATTTCTAAGGTGGAGTTGTAATACTGATTATTGCGCGGCATAATCCTATAGCATTTCAGACTCGGAAGGAAGTTGGCTTTTGAATGCACCTCTTGTAGACACCGCATTCGATAAAAAATGACTGCTTAAGTAGCATAATTTTTCTAAACTGATTGTCGATGATCTTACAAATTGAAGTATATTGTATAGAAAAAATGCGCAAAATATGCTTTCTTTTACTATTTTGATAGAAAAGCCCGTTGTCTCTACATTTTATATTCAAAAGGGGTATACGTAGATTTTAAAAGTTTCCTATTATGAGGTTATTTAAGACCGTGCAATGTCCATTCATACATCATCGTGCATGTCCGTTTACCAATGCTCCTCATGAAATGTGCAACATATTCTGCATCCATTGCGAAATTTTACGAACTGCATATGGTTGCTTCCTAAAGACATATAGGCATATATGATTTTCATACGCGGAATGCATGCGCCTTGTAGACTGAAATCGCTAAACGCAAATGCAACGGCTGATCATCAAAATTATTCGGGAATTGGGAACTTTTTCGAAACCGAAAGAGATTCTTCCTCGAGTTTAAAACTGTGAAGACAACGGGATTTTTCTACTACACGTGCAGAATAAAACACATTTTTTGCATGTCTTCTGTAAAATGTATCTACATTCAGAAGACCATCGAAAATCAATGTGAAAAATGCATGCTACTTGAGTAATCATTCCTTACCGAGTGCGGTTTCTACAGGAGCCCGAAAAGAAGTGCATTCAAAGTCGACATCCTGTCGAATCCTTAATATTACAGGATTATGCCGCATAATAATCAGTATTATAACCCAATCTTAGAAATCCTTCCTAATCAAAATCGCATTTTAGAACTTCGGTCAACATTTCATGAGATCGGTCACTCACTGCATATAAGAAGTCAGTTTTACGTCAATCCTACCGGCTATTTAGTAACGTGAGTAATTTTCCGTGAGGTTTGAGTACCCTATGACTGCTACAACTGTCACTAGAAAGAAAACGTCAGTGTAAGCTACTGAATTCGTAGAAACTAACGAGTAGTCTTGATTCTATTGGAGAGAATAGATAAGACTGACCTTATTTTATCAAAGGTGCTGTTAATATGCATTCGTTAATCTCCAGAAGTACATTTTCGGGGGTTTAAACCAGCGGACGTTTGCGTCTAAAATGGTATTTTAAACTTCGTTCAGTATTTCTCATGTCTACTTCGTAATAGTGGGCTTAGAGACGTCTGACTACACTTCACGCCTTTCTGACAAAGACGCTGTTTAATTTTAAAAAAAGTAAAGGCATAGATATGCGACGTTTTTAGTCAACATGTACATATATGTGTGTCATAATCAAAAGTGCTGCTTCAGGGTTGTGAAATTCCCATGGGCTTCTCGCGCTTAATTAAAATTCATCTTGTTTGCTAGACAGCGCGCACTGAGATTTGGCCTCCCGCCCTCATTTCATTAAAAATTTCATAACAAGTGAGGCACAAAGTGCCCTATAAAAAGCGTGATCTACGCAGGGGATTGAAAAGAGGTTCTGTCGAAGGCCAGCATGTTGGCCTATAGTCCTTCAAAAGCACGATCTATCACGCTTAAACATACTGAACTAATTAATTTGGTATTGTACTCAGTCACGCAACATTTACGTCCTATGGGCAATCTTTTCTGCATGTAAGAATATGTACAGACTTTAGTCCGTGTTTCATTTGTCCTTGAATTGAAGGAATTTCAAGAGGTTTGACGACCACTTTCTGACAAAAGCATGTGACGGAGTACGGCGTTCCACGCGAATAGGAAGCAAAACTTCTTTAGTTCACGTTTTTAGTCGGCTAGTAGTTTTATGAGTCTTTTGCTAATAAGCAGATATTTACTTACAAAAAACAGTAGGAAACTTTGGTGGGCAGTTGACAGCCTTATATACTGCTAAACATCCATAAAAAAACAGCTGCTAAAGTCCTGATTGACTCCGAGGTCTTGGAAATGCCGCAGAATGTGTAACTGTAAAATCCGGAGGTTAGCCGCACTTTTTCACAAGTAGAAACGCTTTAACATGACAGAAGCGGTGCAGTACAGGGGTGACTTACTGGTGCGATTTTTGCTAACGAACTTTTCGATGGGTTAGACAGGCCAGCAATTATGTCAGCAAGTGTTCCATCGAACGTCCAGAGGGAGTTGACATTTGTGGAACGAGGCCTGGAGTTGTTTCGGTTGATAAGATTTTAATAAAAGTAAAAATTCGTCTATGACGACACACTTGTTTTCGATTTTATTTCATAAAATCGACGGATGTTGGTGACTGCGGTGATAATAATAATAATAATAATAATAATAATAATAACAGTAATAATCTCAGAAATTACTAAATGCAGGACGAGGTGTTAAGTATCCGGAACATGCCTTTTTGGGTTTCGATCAGAAATATCAATGAACATTTGACTCAAAAACAATCAAACACTGGAATTACATTATGTCCATTCTGCAAACAAGTTGTATTACTAATAGTGTAGTTTTTTATGGCAGATGGCTATACCGCACTCGCAATATAGGTACTAAGAGTCCTGATTATTCTCCGGAGCTCACATACCAAAAGCCGCATAGAGAACCCGACCCTCTTGCAGTTGCATTGCTCAGCGACAGAACCATCAGTGGAAGATGAGTCTGGGCTTCAGATGGTACCCATGTCAAGAGTATGAATTTGTCACATATACGGCGAATGATTGAGGTTATGCGGGGCCCAGGCGTTCGGATAGAAAGGGGAAGAAAAAGAAGATGCTGATGATGATGCTGCTGCTGCTGCTGCTGCTGTTGCTGCTGCTGCTGCTGCTGCTGGTGATGATGATGATGATGATGATGATGATGATGATGATGATGATGATGATGATGACGTCGCGATCGACGGCTTCTACGACGTGCGCAACAGAACGGGCCCAGCCCGATGGCTGCGCGCGAATTAGTTTTGAGCGAAGCAAAGTTTGCGCAGCATGTGCCGCACGCACTGCGCCCACCCCGCCTCCGGTCTTCTTGACTCTGTCTTGACACCAGATCCAGGTGAGAAGTAGGGAAGAGGGAGTGCTGTAGATGCTGCGCAAGTCACCGTGCCTGCTGCACCTTAGTGTGTAGCACAGGGTGGACATCGTCGGAATCGACGGTCGAACTGTCATGTGCCACACGCGCTATTCCCTCACTCATCGTGTCTTGATGGCAAGAAGGTGTTAATACAACCGGAGGTGGACACGGTGAGTGAAGCCGTTAAACAGCCCGTCCACGGTCTCATCCACGTGCACTACGGTAGATGCACTAAATCATGAAATATTAATCGAAGTTCTGATATGCGTTTTTGACTCTAAAAGACTACGTAGGTAGGGTTATAATATTAATCGCCTTGCAGCGAAATCCCAAGATATTTCCTGATACTTCAAAACGCCAGTTTTTGAACGAACTTCTTTCCGGCCGCCTACAAAAACCACACCGTGCAAAAAATGTCTACTTAATTAGTATGCATTTTTCTCATTGACTTCCAGTGCCTTTATAAATGTAAATATATATATCATAGAATATAGGCATAAAGAATATTTATTTTTTACTCAGTTGATGGAGAATTACGTCTTCTTCAAAGTGTGTGCTTGATGTAAGGGTAAGATTCGGTTTTAAAAAGTTTCTAAGTATGAGATTTTTTAGGACCGTGAAATACCCGTTCATAAAAGATATTGCCTCTGAATTCACTATGGTTGCTTTTAAAGTTTACAATATGGCTCAAATCCACTGCTAAGTTTTAGGAAACCCATATTGTTTCCTCTTAATAGCACATACAAATGTATGATTTTCAGTACATGGAAAATGTGTGGCGCGTAGTACGGAAACCCTGAATGTAAGTGCAACGGTAGGTCGGGTTCAAAATTATTCAGGAATAGGAAGACATTTTAAAACCGAATTATACCCTTCTTTAAAGTGTGACATCTATATAAGATGTAATTTACTACCAAATGAGTAAAGGAATGAATATTTAGGCATGTTTTTTATGAAACATATCCGAATTTGTAAGGGCGCCGAAAATGGATGAGAAAAATGCATACTACATAAGTAGTAGTGATGCCCTTACCTTCGCCTCCCAGTTGCTCCACGCCTTTGTCCAGACACTCGAGGTCGGCGTGGCACTCTGTGTTCCCACCGCAGACCCCACCAATCTAGCCGGTCTCTCAGTCAGACACCGACTGGCTGTCAGCGATGCTGAGACCGCCGCCCTTATTCTCTCACCCCTCCTGCCTATTGTAGCCCGGTGGCCCATCTATATGTACAGGACAGATCTCGTTCGCTCGCCATCCAGCCTCGATGGCGCTAAACGCGGAACGAATAGACTCCACCGACGAACACTTTTCTTCTTACTAAAAGTGTAAGATCAGCTAAGACTGCAAATTGCACGCAGATATACACATTAGTATGCCCGCCGTGCAAGAACTAAACCACCAGACCGTAGGTGGGATAACTCATGAAATGCCAACCGAAATTCCGAAATGCGTTTTCGTTTCGAAAAGTTCAATTAAGTATGGTTGTAAAACTACTCAGCCTGCAACATAATTCTATAATATTTCAGTAACCGCAGGATACCGGCTTTCGAATGAACTTCCTTCCGGCTGCATGCAAAAACTATACTCTGTAAAAAATGACTACATGAGTAGCATGAAGTTTTTTTCTCATTGATTTTCAATGTCCCTAAAATATTCATTATTTTATTCATTCGGTTAAAAAGTACGTCTTCTTCCAATCTTATACTCAGACAGTCTGGCAGAAGTTATCGGACTGCGTCCCACAACAAATGCCAACATTTTAGGGTGCGGTGGCAGACACGGATGCCGGCAGACGTCGCGCACATTGGGACCCCTGCCGCCCCCTTTTTTGCTGGTTAAAGTCCTAGTCATTTGAAGTGTGGGTCAGAGGATGCGGAGGGGAACGTCAAGGTACGGGCTCGGCCGCTCCATCCGCCTGCGCCCTCCCCCGCCTCTAATCTTT